AGAGAGAGAGAGAGAGAGAGAGAGAGAGAGAGAGAGAGAGAGAGAGAGAGAGAGAGACTGTTGTAATGGAAGCTGTAGTGTGGCTCGTTGGGTCCCACAGTTTACCCATTACTCCATTCATCTTTACATTTAAGAGTTCATTACCATGAATCTGGCTCAAGGCCTCTGGCTTGTGCTACCCCAATGGTGAAGGACTCTCACTGGGGCTCCTCTCGGATATCCTGTTACTGCCCTGTGTCGTGGAGATCCTGCTGTCCTGATCTGTAGGCTCATTCCTTCACGTGCTCCAACACTTCCTAGATGAGGGGGGATGTGAAGAGTCCAGTAATAGAATATAGAAACAAAGGGTCCAGGAACATAGACATATAAAGTTGGAAGCCCAAACACATTTTGGAAGGTTTTCCTATAATAATATAATTCCTATATAATAAAATAATTTCCTATAATAAAATAATTCCTATATAATAAAAATAATAAAGATGGCAGCCACTGTTAACCTTTAGCTAACACTTCCTCTTTTAAGGGCAGACATACTGGCAGCCACTGTGCACAGAGGTAAACTTTTAACAATTGTCTCCTGCCTCCCAGCTTCCCAGCTAGGCAGGTACTGCGGACAAAGGTTGGCTTCTTCCTCTTGCCTCTGTGGGACCCTCTGCTGTGTTCCCTTAATTTTTAACAGTTCCCTATGCGACTCTACTCTCTGCCTTGCATTCTTTCAGGGACAGTGAAAAGCAGCTGTGGCAGCCATAGGCTTTCACAACCATCCCAAGCTAACATTCTAATGTCCTATAATCAAAAGTTGTAAAATTTAATAGGTAATGTGACTTTAAGCCTGACCTCAAGGCTGTAAAAGTTCTTTGATCCACACCTGGTGCTTGATTTTACCTTAAGAGGAGGCCAAAACTAGCCCCTATTGCCACAGTTCCAGAAGCCTGATCTCTGGCTGTGGTCACAGCTATAGCTGACAAGCTTTCTATGCCCCATGGTGATTTTTTTTTCTTTTTCTGGGATGAAGCTTGTGTGTGGTTTAATAGAATTTGGTGATTGGTCCCGCCGCCATTGTGTGATCCCGGGCCCAACAGATGTTGGACTGGGTCAACTCATATCCCTGGATCTGGGCCTGGGTGATAGCTGGGTGGGCCAGCCTGCCAGCTTTCCAGTATGGTCTCTAGTGTCTTGGCAGGCTCACTCAGCCTGTAGCAGGGGTGGAGCCAGCTCACCTATTCCCAGGTCCTCGGACCTGGGTCACCCACACTCACACCATCAGCAACAGCCCTACTGTTTCTCCCAGGAGAGAAGCAGGCTTCAGTATCGTGGTTGCTGTAGGGGCATATGAGGTGGGGGCAGAGTCAGCTCTCCTACTCTCATGCCCTCAGTGCTAACTAGCCTGGACCCCGCCCCTACAACAGGGTTGGCTCTAGTGTGCCATCCAGGCAGGCTGCAGGGCCCAGTCTCCTGTGTGCTGCAGCTGGTGAGGGGCAGGGCTAGCTCTCTCACCCTAGACTCTGGACAGCGGTGTGGCCTTTGGTGGCATCATGGGCCTGTGACATTAACACAGACCCTGGCTATGGTAGGACCACGAACCCAGACATGGTCTTTATTATTCTTTTAAAAGCGGGTGGGTGTGTAGACGAACACAGGATAGAAGAGACACGCAGCTCCCACGTGGGTGCACTTTAATGGGGGAGGGGGACACGATAAGGGATGGGTGTGCAAGATACACAAGGGTAGAGGGGCAAGAGAGAGCGAGACCTCGTGGAAGCTCGCTTTTTAACGGGAAGCGCAAGGTTATCTGGGAGAAATGACCTGCACCTGTGCACGCCCGCGTGCGCAGGTATCCGTAATCCAGGAGGAGTCTGGGAGCTGTAGTTTCCAAAAGGAACAACAGTCTTCATCAGGACATTCTGTGTTCTTCAGTTTGCTGCCGTCCTAATCTGAAGTCTTCCACGCCCCGAACTTTGGAGTTGAATTTCTTTTTGCTGACTTTGGAACTGAACCTGGACTCCTGGAGGAGAAGCTAGAAGGAAGGAGGAGAGAGAAGAGGGAAGGAGAGAAGGAGGAGAAGGCTTCATTGGAGAGTCTGCAGGCGCAGGGACCACAGGCACGGGCATCCCTTTTACCAGCTGCCTCCTCTAGATGCTGCTCCTGCCTGGGCTGCCAGTTTTTACCCCCTCTTCCCTTCCTCCCAGTGCCCCCCTAAAGCACCTGACCATTGACTTGCCCCACCCTCGTGGTGTAGGACTTCCCTAGGAAGGGAGAGGGCGCATGTGTGCTCACAGGGCTCTAACTTGGTGTGGAGGAGGAGGGTGACTCACTGGACTGATTTCACTAACTCGTTCTCCTTAGCTACTTCCTCCCCCACCTCCTGACACCCCCAGCACAGAGGGGGTTTCCGTCTCTGCCCCACTCCTTCCTCACACTTTGTATATGGTTTCTTCTTCATTGCTTCCTGCCAGTCTGGGAAACCCCCAGCATCCTGTTATTTCTTAAATTAAAGATTAAAGAAAAGATTCTTAAGTCTGTGAAGCGGTTTCCTCAGATCTGGTCTGGTGATGACAGGAGATGAAGCTCAGTCCACATGGATGATCCACTAGGGTCAAGGGACAGTGGGATTCTGGACTGCAAAGCTTCTAACAGGCAGTAGAGTCAGGAATGGGGTTTGGGTGGCGCTCCCCAGACAAAGCAATTCAAGCAGAGACCCAGTCCCCCCCCCCATGAACTGAACATTTCCACGGCCCCCGTCTTTCTAAGATTGCTGTTTCTTAGGGAAAAGCAGGTGAGAGAGGGTGACAGTGGACAGAGCATGGGCAATGCACATTATGAAAATGTCCAGGATCCAGAATATTTTTGCACAGTTCATAGGCGCTCAAAACCAGAATCAGTTTCCGAGGGCCAGTTCTCCATGCAACAACTTTGGGAAGTTTTATTATACCAAAGTGACAGGAGGGTTGATCACTTTAGGGTAGTCCTGGGAATCCCAAAAAACTCATCTTCCCAGAGGGCTCTAGGATCCCAGGGAAAGAAGAGGGGACTCACCCATTTGTATTTCTGGTGGGGCAGTGTATTGAAAGTCTTTAGCCCAGGGCTGAAGTGGCTTCAGGGGTATTAACAGGGACACTTGCCCTTTTGAACAAAGGGACAGCCCTGATTATCTGGGGAATCCAGGAGCGGTTGATTACGAAATAGTCCATTTACTCAGCCTGTTTCATTCTGACCAATAGAAAAAAAGGTCTTGGGCGCCTGCCAGCTGGCTTTTAGCCAGCGTCGCTCCAGACGAAGAGGGTGGAACTACGTGCGGATAAGTACTCGCAGGCCTTTGTGAGTTTAGCGTCACCCCAGACGAAGAGGGTGGAACTACATGCGGAAACATGATAAGTACTCGCAGGCAGTTGTTAGTTTCACATCACCAGTCACCAGTGCTAAGGAGGCAGCAAGTTCCCCAAAGATCAGGGGAGCAAAGAACAAAGGACTAGGTTAGGCTGTAGCTAGGACTGGACAAGTGACATAGCCCACCCTGAAAGACCTTGCAGTGGGGAGGGTCTTCTTCAGGTGACTGTAGACTGCCTCACCATACCAGGGGGCTGACTGGGAGAAGATATGAGCCCCAGACTTCAAACAACTCAGCTAGGCAACCGCAGAACTCATGGGTAAGTGATCACTTCGTTAGAGCCTGCTCAAGCCCCAACACTAAAGGGGTTATGCACTTTCTGTTTCTCCCGTCCAGTCCGGGTGCAGTCTAGTGGCTCTGGGATCACATGGGGGTCATCAATACAATTATTTTCTATCAGGGGACCATTGTTTGTTTCTGTTCCTACTTGGACCATTGCTTTTGGAGTCTTCATAGCTCATTTTGACAAAGTACAGGCTGTGGAGGACTTGGGTGAGCTGTGGGTGAGTCAAATGCCTTTGTCTGCTTAGGGTGGAGTGGGGGTTTAAGCTCTGGCTCTGCCCTGCCTGAGCCGGAACTAGTGAGGCAGGCAGCAGAGGGTGTGGGTGAATCAGGCTCCTGCTGGTCTCCAGAGCCTCTGCAGCCTTCCCTGTTCTCTTGGAGATCTGACCCTGTGGGAAGTTGGATAACTATGTCCAGCAGGCAGGCAGGAACTGCAGTCTAGATGAAGAAAGAAGTACACTAGAGCCCCCAGAAGCTGACACTGCTCTCCTAAACCAAAGCAGAGCACCTTAGAGGAGCCCAAAGAGGGCTCCAGGTCTCACTGTTCTCCAGAGGCAGCTCCTGCTCCTGTCCCAGGGGGTTTTCCTGCCAGTCTGCAGTGCTGACATCGGAATGCCATGTTCTTCCCCGCTGGAGACAGCTAGCAAGACACCTTAAATCCCATGTCAAAGTCTCAGGGAATTTTCTCCAGTGCACAACACAATTTGGGAGTGGAATTAGGGTTGGAGAATCTGATTTGTAAACCACAGCTAAAGCTCCTGGGAGGTTAATGAATTTACATGCCTGGATTTGTGGTTCACCTGTCCTGTTTCTTTCTGAAGGATTGAGTCCCAGATACACGCCAAAAAAAAGTGAATTTTGAACCATTGAAAATTTACCATAGTCACAGGTTTAGGAGTGAGATGGTCCCTGTCCCAGGCTAGCCCACAGCACCTTTAAATATGACTGTATTGTATCCCCCTTGAGGTTCCAAATTCCTGAGGACATGACTATTGTGCTTTGGGATTTGGGTGTGAGATGAGACTCTGTCTCCTTTCCATATGGAGAGTGAACCATGGGTGCTGGTTTAGGACTGGGCCTGACAAGGAGACTCTGGACAGGGGAGGCTGGGAAGGAATGAGGAACTGACTGACTGCTCAGCAGTGCAAAGAACAGGGTGGAGTCGCAACTAGCTACTGGGCAGAAAGGAAACTGTTCCCTTCCCAGAAAACGAAACTTCTCCCTTTTCAGAAACAAAACTGTTCCCTTCTCAGTAGTACAGGCTGCTTTAATTCCTGTTTATGATGGTTGTTGTTTTGCTTTAGTATTTTAGAGGGGAAGGAGGCACACAGGGGCTGGGTGTGTAGCCCAGGCTGGCCTGAGATTCACTGTTCATTTTCTCCATGTCTCAAGCTCAGAGTGCCCACATCAACCTCACAGGGTCAGCACCATGCTAGGCTCCTTGCAGCCTTTTGGGTGGAGATGAAGATCATTTGCAGGGCATTAGGGAAAATGGGCTCACATTTGGGCAGCTCAGTCACACCTGTCCCCTCTTTCTTTGATTTTATTACCAACCTGCAATCGTGACAGAGTAAGGTATCCGACCGAATATCATTCTCTTTTCTTCCAAAGGTAGCTGACTAGACACCCTGAACCCCAAGTTCCCTTCTGAGAGAATTTCCTCCAGAGTCAGTGCTATAATTTGAGAAGGAGCTACCTGGTTAATTAGACCCAGGGATCCCCTCTTTGTCTGCCAACATTGGGATGCTAGGCACATGCAGTCTCTCTCAGCTTTCCATGTGGGTGCTGGCAATCCAAACTCAGGTCCTCAAGCTTGTAAAACAAGCCCTTTATCTACAGAGTCACCTGCCCAGCCATGGAGACCTTAATGTGACTCCATACTGAGGCAGAGGATGAGGGCCTGCCCAGCTAATCAGTAGACACGTATGGAGGTGCCCTGGAAGATTAGCAGCACTAGCTGCTTTCCTAACTGACCCATTTTCAGTCAAAGCTCACAAGGTTTATGAAAAACAGGAAATTATGGCTAATGCAGAAGCAGGAAGTTAATGGTCAGAATCGCCTTCTGAGAGAGGCAAGACCCTAGAGTGTAGACAAAGTCGTTCAGAGACTTGAGGTGATGTCGAGTTGTAGCGAATGAGATTAGAACTTTTCTCACACCACGTTACACAAGCCAAATACAAAATGAATTAAACATACCAATGTAAGATCAGAAAAGAAAGGTAAGAAATAGGAAAATTACTAGAAGAAGACACAGAAGAAAAGTTCTATGACATTGGTTTTGGCAAAGGTCATTTGGATGTTGCCTTGACTGGCTCTACTGTCAACTGGACAGAACCTAGAATTATGTGGGAAGAGTTTATTAATCAAGGGATCGCCAGTATCTGATTGGCTGTGGGCACGTGTGTAAGATTGTGTTGATAATTGATGTAGGAGGGCACAGACCACATTGGGCAGCCCATTCCCTAGGCAGGGAGACTACAAAAGCATAAGAAAGCTAGCCAGCCAGCTCCATCCCCCATGGTTCCTGGTATATTTCCTAGACTGTGAAGTGGGTTCTTTGGTCAAAGGTAATGTTGTGTAGAACAGCAAGCAGGCCTCCTTCAAGTTCCTGCTCTGCCATCCCTCAGTGGTGGGTGGTGATGTTGAATTATTTGCAAATGAACCTGCTCTATCCCAAAGTTGCTTTTTGTCTGGATAATTGTCACAAGAACAGAGAGAAAATCAATGCAGATGTTTCCTAAAGCACAATAAAAAAAATTCCCAAAGTAGACCTGAGATTCCATCAAACTGGAATGTCGCTGCACAGGAAAAGGAGAAATGAACAAACAGGCAATCCATAGAGGGAGAAAAGGTTTGTAACACACAGTCTGATAAAGTTAATATCCAGGGAGATTATGCACTTGGCCAAAGGTAAAGAAATAGTCTAATTGCAAAATGGACAGAATGGATACTAATCATAAATAATTTGAAAGCCGGGTTACAGAGATGGCTGTGTGGTTAGGAGCACTGGCTGCTCTTCCAGAACACCAGAATTCAACACCCAGCACCGACATTGGGCTTACAACCACCTGTAACTCCAGTTCCAGGAGATCTGATGCTCTGTTCTGGTCTCCATGGCTAGCGCATGCACATGGCACATAAGACAAGCATGCAGTCAAAACACCAGCAGCCATAAAAAACGTCTAAACAAAAGTGTAACTAAAGCCTTTGTTACATAAAAGACAGAAACCACACAGATTCCAATGGGGGTTTGCTTAGAGGAGACTGAAGACAGTATTAATGACTGGAAAAAAGATAGTGAAAATTAAACTAGAATTGAAAATTCAAAGGACTTAACTATACTTGGAACATCACATCTGAAAACCAAGTAGGCAAATAAGCTTGCCTAATGATGCAAATCTGTAAAAAGAAAACCATTTCATGCGGAACATGTGTACCCAAGGATTGTGCTGTTGGCTTCACAGTACAGAATTTGCTTTCTCCTGTTAGGTCTCATTCTAAAGGCTCTGTCTGTTTTACAGGAAAGAAATTCAGATTGAAAATGCAAACATGGCCATCACCGTGGATCTGGAAACAGACTATGCTGAGCTGGTTTTAACGGTGGAAGCAATCACACTTGGGGAGAAGAATAGAAAGAAGTTGAAGAACCAACCCCTCAGAAAACAGGAGAATGAAAACATCTCTCGAGCTGTGTGTGCCCTCTTGAACTCTGGAGGTGGAGTGATTAGGGCTAAAATTGAAAATGAAAATTTTAGCCTTCCCAGGGATGGATTGGGACTGGATTTGGAAGCCTCTCTTTGTAAATGTCTGCCGTTTGTGGGGAGGCATCTGGACTTGATGGTGCTTGGAGGCTACT